TGGATGAAAAGAGGTAGGGAAACGTCAAAAGTGTTATCCTGAAATCCATACAATGGTAAAAGTTCCTTTAGCACACTCATTGTGATGTTCAGAGGTTCTCCAGGATCTGTTGGGCCAGTTTCATGGGGACAGTGGCTAGAACAAGATTGTCATCATGACTGAGTGACTGGGAATCTCGGGTGCAACACTAGCTTCTGGAGATCTGGCAGCTCTCTGTCTCTCGCGCTTACTAACATTATCACACCTTTCCTGTTAGATTTAAACTAGGGGCTAATCAGGCCACACTAACCCGTACAGTAGGGAGAGTCTCTGTGAATCTGTATCGGGCAGCCAGTGTCCAGTACCAGGACTCCAGATCAGAAAAGCTAAGTTCCAGACCAGATGTTGTTCAAGTTAAGCCCATCTGGAGCCTCCTGTGCCCATGCCCATCCTCATAGTTGATTCAGGATCCCTGCTGCTACAGAGAGATACAGCCACTCTTCTCAGAGCCTGTGAGTCTGTAGACAGACTCCTCGGGTGCCAAGAGTCCTGAGAACGACAGGCACCCAGGAGACTTACAGAGCTCAGGTTGCCAGATTCAGGCATGAGGGAGGCTAGATGTTAAGGGAGTGCATCCATCCTCCATATCTCCCCATCACCTAGTTACACATTAGCAAGAGTACTTCCTTCTCATGAGACACTCCATGCCCTTTCCCCCAAAGCCTAGATAGACTCCTTGACTCCCTGGGCAGTCCAAAATCCTTTGCTCACTGTCTCTTGTGGCCTCAAGAAATAAACACCATCGGTGTGTGCTGTTGAACTCAGGGCCTTATAGTTTCCTAAGACTCAGTATAATGGTAAAAATAAAATGGTGCTGTTCCATGAGTGGCAGCAGTGGTAGCAGCGGGCAGTGGGCCATGAGGGGCAGCAGGTCCCCACATGGCAGGTGAGAGACAGAGACAGATAGGCACACCATGCAGAGAAAGTGGGTATTTATTTAGTGGGTTATGGAAGGGAAAGGGGAAAGGGAGAAGGGGAAGAGCAGAGAGAGGCAGAGATAGAAAGAGAGAGAGAAACAGAGAGAGAGGGAGGGGGAAGAGGAGAGGAGAAGCTACCTCTTCAGGAGAGAAATGGAAAGGGAAGAGCTCAGGCTGGAAGAAGAAGGCAGATCTGCTTGCCTTGGCAGACCAGGGAGGGGGTGGGCAGGGCATGTCTCTTAAAGGGACAGGGCAGACCATTACACTCAGGAGCTAGAGAATTGAAGATCTCAAGAGTAACCTCTCTCCTTTCAGATTAGTTATAGCTCAAGCACTTTTAGTTGGTGAAGTATTTTTTACAAAACGTTGCAGAACTTGGGGATCACTGCCTGTGCCCCCACGAACCAGGTCTGGCCACTATCAACAGAAAATCAGCTCTCTCATCAAAGTAATAAAACTATTATGTCCAGATCACAGAGTCCCCCCAAAACCAACCAAGAGACCAAGTCCTGTATGTAAAAGCAAAGAGCCTTTATTCTCACACAAGTTTGCAAACTTGGACTCTCCATGTGTCCATCATATTGCAGTGGTCGGAGAGTTCCAAGCTCAGTTAGGGTTGGGTTTTTATAGAGGCAAAGGTGGAATTTCTAAGGTTCAGGACCCCTGATTGGCTGACATTTGTCTAGGGGTGTCCTGTGGAAAAGCGATGGGTGTGTTCTGGCAGGTGATCCTATTTACAATGGTTGGAACCTTAGGAATTTCCTTTGGATGGTCTGTCCCTGGGTGATACCTGGGTGGTCTCAGTTTGTGGTCTTTCTTGGAACTAGGTAATTCCTTAGGGTAAACTACTGAGACTCAGGCCTCTATTGAGCTTGTCAGGGCTGGGTCCTACATAAACACAGATTATTCTGGAGCCAAAAACATGTGTCCATGGCCTGGAAACACAGATATAGATCTCCCACATACCACATCATATATGAGTCTTTTCTTTCAAATAAAGTCTTTGAAGGGTCTTCCTCCCCTAACTTAGGGTTAGTGGCTAATTGGTACACAATAGCTATCTAAACATGCTCTGATCTGCTTTGAACTTCTTGAAGGAGCAGGTGAGTCCAACTAGTTGGGGGGGGTATAATGGTGAAAACAAAACGCTGCAGTTCCCTGAGGGGTGCAGTGGCAGAAACACTGCAGGTTCCCAAGTGGCAGCAGCAGGCAGTGGGCCACAAGACCACAGTGGGCCATAAAGGCAGCCAGGTCCCAGGCAGGAAGCTGTGCAACAGGTAAAAGACAGAAACCTGTCCCACGAGGACCCGTGGTAGGTGAAAGACCTAGACAGATAGGCACACCATGCAGAATGAGGTTGGGTATTTATTTAGTGGGTTATGAGGGGCAAAGAGAAAGGAAAGGGTAGGAGGGAGAAGAACAGAGAGAGAAGAGGGAAGGGGAGAAGTGGGGAGGAAGGAGAGAAACAGAAGCTGCCCCTTTGGGAGAGGAAGGAAAGGAATGGACTCAGGCTGCAAGCAGAAGGAAGATCTGCCTGCCTCGGTGGTGGAAAGGGGAGGGAGTAGGCAGGGCTTGTCTGTTAAAGAGACAGAGCAGACCATTACATTCCCATTTCTTTTTTTATAATAAAAAGGTGGGAGGCCAGACTCATCAGGTTAAAGGAATTAGGGCAGCAGATTCTCAAGACTGCTTCCTGCTTATTTGTGGGCATTGTCTGGGAGGAGAAACCTGAGAAAGCTGGGTGCTGATCACATCCTGGAGTAGCTGGACTCCTTGTTCCTGCCCAGTGTTTGTAGTATAGAAATGTCTGGTGTCTCTTACACCTGTTTAAGATATTGGCAAAACAGAGAACAAAGTTAAGTTCAGAAAAAAAAAATTTAGACCAGAGAGTTGAGAGGGGTGTATCTGATCTGTTTAAGGTGGATTATTCAATTCAGCTCCCTGGAACTCACAAAAATTTTTGATTTTATTAGAACATAAGTTTTAAACATATGCATTTTATAAACAGTAGCATACTTATGTCAGAATGACTGTGACAGATATTTTGCATAATGGAAGTATTTTTAAGATTATGAAAGGCAGCATGAGAGAAAAATTTGATAGCATGAACTTGTCCTCACACCTTTATAAATTGCAGGTACACACCTTAATAACTTGTATTTGTATTTTGCTGAAATTTCTTTGGTCATGTTATCCTTTTAAACTAACAAAACCTCTCAGCTGTCAAACTGCATCAGAGATCTCTGAGAAGAATAAATTTTTACTTGAGTTTTTGATTTAAAAAGACAAAGAACTTACTTGGTTGGCACCTAGAGCTAATCCTCAGGGTCCTCCATGGTGGCTGAGGGTCATATTTGCCTTTTGCTGTTTAGCACAGGGCCTGCCAGGCTCTAGATCCTGTGGGCTAAGAAATCTGTAGGAAGACAAGCCTGCCTTGACCTGAGCATCTAGGCTGTGGATTCCAGCGATTCTGTCCATGTCTGGAGATCTTCAGTTTAGATGAAAGGCAGTTTTGCCCAGTGGTCAGCATTTGGTAGTTGAAACAAATTGCAGATGGATGTTATTCTGTGCTCATTTGTCTTCCATGACAGGTACAAAGAAGGCTTTTCAAAACGAACTGGCTTGCTAGAATACCTGACTGGTAAACTCTAGATTCAGTAGCAGACCTTGCCTCAGTAAATAATGTAGGGAGTGACTGAGGAAGACACATGACATCAGCCTTAATCCTCGACATGCCTGTATGCACACATACACATGCACATCTACACACATAAACATGCATATACACATGTGCACACCACACACGTACAAAAATTTTAAAAATCAAACCTTGAGGTGCATATGGAAAGTAGTCAGAGGACCCTACCCCCAGTACCCAACATTGTACACCTTACACAGAGTGATGGACCACACTGCCTCCATTTTAGGCTTGAAAGCTCTCCTAGAGTAAAGACAAACTAGGCTGATTCCTGTTTATGATTAAATCTGTTTCTCAAAGATAGGGCTATGCCCCACCTGTAACCTTCACTACAAAGGGTTCTGCACTGCCTGTTCCAGGAAATGGAAGCCATGCCTTTGTTTCAAAGGGATATTATGCCCACCTTGTGATGACTGCCTTGTGACCATCTTGCAAGCATGTCTCCGCTTCAGGTTGTTATGGCCAACTTGTTATGCGATGTCCTGCCTCTGTCACCTCACTTACTTGCCTGCCAAGTCCCCCAATCGAAAAGCCCCTACTCCTGAACTATAAAAATCCTTATCTTGCCGGGCATGGTGGCACAAACTGTTAATCCCAGTACTCAGAAGGCAGAGGCAAGTGGATCTTTGAGTTTGAGGCCAGCCTGCTCTACAGAGTGAGTTCCAGGACAGCAAGACTACACAGAGAAACCCTGTCTCAAAAAAATTCAAACAAACAAACAAACAAAAAAGAACCAACAGTTCAATCCAAGTGTGGTTTGAGATGTCTCGGGGAATTTGATCAATTAAAGATGAAAATAATGAGATATAAATAAGGAAGATATTCTGTAGGGCTTGTGGGCTGATTGAAAGTTGGCCATAAACCAAGTAGAATGTCTTAATACAAAAAAATTTTTGGATGTGTTAAGGTAATATTTATAAACTATGAGACAGTTAAACATATTATTCTAACCTACAGAATAGTAATTAAAGCTCTAGTAATACTGAGTATTATTTTCACACCCCAAAGCACCCTCAGGATTGTTTTTTAGAAAACTCGTCAAACTATTAATGAGATGGCTCAATTGGTAAAGCGCTTACTACAAAAGCATGAGGGCCTGGACTCAACCCCAGCATCCACATAAGAAGCTGGTGTTTTGGTGCATGCTTTTAATCCCAACACAGGGGAGGCAGAAGCAGGCAGATTCCTGGGGTCTACTGGCCAGGCAGGCTAATTTAACTGCTGAACCCCAGGTGACAGTGAGAGACCCTATCTCCAAACACTGGGCGGCAGGTTTCTGGGGAACATCCCAGGCTGACCACTAGTCTTCACAAGAATGGATGCACACGTACTATCCACGCATCCACAATTTGCTGGGTGTGGCTTCCAGTATGTATTTCTTGCTTAACTCTAATCTAGTCGTCAATACGCACTTCTTGCAAACTTCACAAGGCCACTTGACTTTTGGAATGCAGCGGTCATTAGCAGCAAATTCCAGACCTTCCCGGCCTTGTTTTTCTCACTAAGCTTGGCTCTTCTTCCAGCGTACCGCGCAAATACTTATTTTACTCTGACAGAGAAATCAGGACCAGATGACCAGACCGTCTCTATCTTAGCTCCGAAAGGTCCGCGACACGTGAACGGGATGACAAAGTCGCTGGGCGACTCCTCCACCGCCGGGATTACAAGCCATAGCTTAGAGTGGGGAAAGGCTCCGCCAGACCCGGAGCACAGGCGGGACTGTAAGCCCCGCCCACCAAGCCCCGCCCCGGCCAGAACGCCCCACCTCGGAAGGCAATAGACCGGCGTGCTTTGCGCCGCTGGGTGCGGCGCGGGAGTCTCGCTTTCCAAGGCTTCTGCAGAGGTGAGCGCTCGCGGGTAGCACTGAGAGGGACGTTCTCCTGCTTCCGGGTGCTGTCGGGTTCCGGCTGCAGGAAGCCTGTGGGTCAGGGCGGAGGGGTGTGGGGGACCCTTCTAAAGCCAGAATCCTACATCCGCTGCTGGGCCCGCCGCGGAGCTCACCGACTGACCCCGGCGAGTTTGTTGACTGTCTCTGCAGGACCCCGCCTTAGCTAGCCTCAGTTTCCTCTGGGAAAGAGTGGCTTAAATGGTGTGACTCAGAACCCTGTCTTCTGTTTGCAGCAGTACATTGCTTACCAAACGCTCTGTGTGGATAGGAATACAATGACATTTTATCCAAAGAGAAATAGAATGATAATTAGTGGCATAGTATAGTCACAGACGAAATAAAGTGCACATTCAAATGTGCGCCTGTGAGACCCTGTCCCCCCCCCCCAAAAAAAAACAGCAAAACAGTATTGACTGTATGATGGTAAGTCAGGTTGATGGACCGTTTTGGTCTATTCGTGTACATGCAAGAATACAGTTTTTTTTTTTTTTAAGTGAAACACCTGCCGTGGTTCCCAAGCAGCCTGTGATCAAATATTGAGCCTGTACTATCAACGGCTAACATGCCGCACAAAGTACTACACAATGCATGTCCTGACTGACAGGAGTTTATTTTCCTTTAATTCGAGATGCTGAAGGTCCAAGACAATAAACCTGACCCAACGACACTTATTTTCACAGCTGGAAATCAACCGTTGTGGTATAGGTTCCTGTGTTGTGAGTGTTTTCCTTTGTATCGAGTCCACCAGCTGCAAATCAAACGTGTTTAGGGGAAGTTTCCATCGGTACTGAGCATGGCTTTATTCCCCTAAGCAATGCAGCGCCACAACAACACATGTAGCGTTTGCGTTGTAATAGGTACCGTAAGTGACCTAGAGTTGACATAGAATATAGGTAATGGCCTGCCTGTTAATCCCAGCACTTGGAAGGCAGAGATGGGAGGATAGATCTCTGTGAGTTTGAGGCCAGCCAGATCTACAGAGTTCCAGGACAGACTCCAAAGCTACAGTGTAACATGAAGGGGCCTGGCTTGTTTGTTGTTTATTTCGCCCTTTACCCCACAACTGTTTAGCCCCAAAGAAAATCACACATAGGTCTCCATAAATTATACGCTGATTGGCCCATTAAACTCTAGCCTCT